CCAGGCGGGTCTCGAACCTGCGGGCTCAGGCAATCCACTCACCTCGACCTCCCAAAGTGCTAGGATTACAGGCTGAGCCACCGAGCCCGGCCTGATTTTTGATTTATTGTAGAGATGAGGTCTCTCCAAGTTGCCCAGGTGGGTCTCGAACCCGTGGGCTCAAGCAATCCACTCACCTCGGCCTTCCAAAGTGTGGGATTACAGGCTGAGCCACTGAGCCCGGCGAATCAGCCCTAATCTAGTATGACTGTCATTATTGAAAAGGGAGAGTTGAACACAGAGAGGGACATGCTTAGAGGGAAGATGATGTGGAAACATGAGAAAAGACTGTCATCTACAAGCCAAACAACGCCTGGGGCTGCAGAAGCCAGGAGAAACCAGCCCTACCGAGGTCTCACTCTCGGACTTCTGTCCTCCAAAACTGTGTTTATAAATTTTTGTTGTTTAAACCACCCAGTTTGTGGTAGTTTTTTTGTGACAGCCACAGGAAACTTAATACATACCTCTTATAGGTAACCAGTCTGTTGTGGTTTGAATTGTGTGCCTCGGGAAGGTACGTTCAAGGCCTAGTGTATGTGACCTAAGATGGGGTCACATTGGATTAGGTATGGGTGAGGGAAATTTGGACACAGTCAAGACACATGGGAAGAGATGGCCACATGATGACAGAGGCAGAGATTGGAAATGATACATCTACAGGCAGAGGAATGCTGAGTACTGCCTCCTGCCCTGACGCTGGGAGAAGCACGGGATGAGCTCTCCTTCAGAGCCTCCAGAGGGCACCAACCTGCCCACGCTTGATTACAGACTTGTAGCCTATAGAACTTCGGCCCTTTTTGTTGCTTCAAACCCTCCACTTTGTGGTACTTTGTCACAGCAGTCGTAGGAGGCGAATACACAATATCATCATCTTCTGGTTTATCCTTCCTGTGTTTCTTTAACACAAATGATCAGAAACATGGATATCTTCCTTTATCCTTTTCTTTCTTCCATGAAGGATAGCATACAGTAGTTAACTCTTTAGCACTTAGGAACATTATTTTTATGTATGTATTTTTCTTTTTATTCTCTCTTTTTTTTTTAGAGATAGGGACTTGGTCTGTTGCCCAGGCTGAAGGGCCATGGCACGATCACAGCCCACCACAGTCTTGAACTCCTGGGTTCAAGCAATCCTCCTGCCTCAACCTCCCAAGTAGCTAGGACTATAGGTGCAGGCCACCATGCCTGGCTTTTTTTGTTGTTGTTGTTAGTTGGAGTCTCACTCTTTCGCCAGGCTGGAGTGCAGTGGCACACTCATGGCCACCACAGCCTCGAGCTGCTGGGCTTAGGCAATCCTTCCACCTCAGCCTTCCAAGTATCTGGAACTACAGTTGCACACCACCACACTGAGCTAATTTTTGTGATTTATTGTAGAGATGAGACCTCACCAAGTTGCCCATGCTGGTCTCGAACTCCCAGACTCAGCCAGTCCTCTCACTTCAGCCTCCCAAAGTGCTGGAATTACAGGATGAGCCACCTTGCCCAGCCCCAGCTCATTTTTTATTTTATTTTTTGTAAAGACAGGATCTTGCTATGTTGCCCAGGTTAGTTTCAAGTCTCTGGTCTCAAGCAGTCCTCCTGCCTTAGCCTCCCAAAGTGTTGAGATGATAGGTATGAGCCACTGCACCTGGCCGGGAGCATTTTTTTGTTTTGTTTTGAATAGGAGTCACACTCTCATCCATGCTGGAGTGCATGGCACAATCACAGTCACCACAGCTTCAACCTGCTGGACTCAGGTGATCCTTCCACTTCAGCCTTCCAAGTAGCTGGAACCACAGGCAGTCGTTACCTACCAGCTAATTTTTTTATTTATTGCAGAGACAAAGACTTGCCAGGTTGCCTAGGCTGGTCAAGAACCACTGGACTTAGGCAATCCTGTCGCCTCCACCTCCCAAAGTGCTGGGATTACAGGGGTGAGCCACCACATCTGGCTGTTTTGTTTTTTTGTTTTTTTGTTTTTTTTGAGTTGGAGTCTCACTCTGTCGCCCAGACTGGAGTGCAGTGGCTGCTCCCGGCCACTGCAGCCTCGACCTGCTGGGCTCCGGGGATCCTTCCGCCTCAGCCTTCTGAGTAGCCGGAATTACAGGTGCGCGCTACCACGCCCGGCTAATTTTTGATTTATTGTAATGAGATGAGGTCTCGCCTGCCCAGGCGGGTCTCGAACCCTCAGGCTCAGGCAATCCACTCACCTCAGCCTCCCAAAGGCGCGGGATTACAGGCTGAGCCACTGAGCCCGGCTATGTTTTTTGTTTTCTGAGTCAGGATCTCACTCTGTCTCCCAGGAGTGCAGTGGCACCATCATGGCTCACTGAAACCTCTACTTCCCGGGGTCAGGCAATCCTTCCACCTCAGCCGTCCGAACAGTTGGGACTAGAGGCAAGTGCCACCATGCCTGACTAACTTTTTAATTTTTTTTTGTAGAGACTAGAGTTAAGGTCTTGCTTTGTTGCTCAGGCTGGTCTTGAACTTTTGGGCTCAAGAGGTCCTCCAGCCTTGGCCTCCCAAAGTGCTGGGATTATAGGTGTGAGCCATTTACCCAGCCTTAATTTTAATAGCAAAAAACTAAACACAGTTTAAACATCTACTCATTGGCACTAGTTAAAAACTTACCCATCACACTGGAATACTATGTATTCATTAAAAAGAATAATATGTGGAAAGCTGAAGTGGAAGGATCACCTGAGCCCAGCAGGTCAAGGCTGCAGTGGCCATAAGCAGCGTGCCACTGCACTCCAGTCTGGGCAACAGAATGAGACTCCAACTCAAAATAATAATAATAATATGGAAGAGTCTAAGATGTGTTCTTGATTAAAATGTTTGCACATAGAAGACAGAACAGAGTACGCTAGCCATCATTTAATCTACTCTTCCCCCTACACCCTAGCCCTGTTTAGACCAGGTAGTTCACATGCTCATGCTGATTTGTTCTGGAGTCATGGCTGTTCCTGGAGAACGTGAATCTAGATTGTGTCCTGGAAGCAGAGCTCAGGGCTACCCCTCTAATATCTTTATTCCAGTCCTCACCAGTTTCCTTTCTGGAGACCTACAGTACTCTGAGCATAGCATCCACAGTGTCTCATATCGCTGAATGTGTACTCAATGCTGACCCTAGAAGCATTGAGGTGGGTGGGTGGCACCTGGACCCTTCCCTCCCCTACTCCAGTGGCTGGCTCTGCCTAAGGTTGGGGGACACGGGGACTTCAGCACTCTGGTCTGCTAGAGACTGTTTGTAAAATCCTCTAATATACCAAATATCATTTAGCTCCAGAAGAAGTGCCCCGGTGGTTTTTGTTTGTTTCTTTTACTATGTGGACAAAGTGAACAATGCAGTTAGGTAGGCCCAGAGAGTTAAAGAGTTACACAGTTTGGGAATTGGATAATTTCTGAATAGGGGTAGATGTTTTTAAGGTATTCTGTACAGAGGTAAAGGTTAGGGTCATGTTATTTATAATTCCATGAATAAGCCTAAAGAATAGGTAAGTTTTTCTGCCTTGTAGGAATGTGGAAGTTGATATGTTAATTTTAAAATCTTCAACTTAATTCTGAACCTTCTACATCATTTCTGATCATTACAAGTTTGCAGGAAAAGTAGGACCTGACCAGGCAGATGCAGTTCTCTGAGGCCTAGACAGTGCATGGCTTGGCTTGCTGGCCTGATGCCACCATGTATTGAGCACTAACTGACCAATGCTGCTGTCTGGCATGGTGTCCCTGGAGTCAGTTCTGTCCTGCTGGTTAGAGCGCAGGCATCTGCGAGTGTGGTTTCCGTAGCATGGAAGACCGAGGATGTGTCTGTGAGCAGCAGCAGGTTGGGGACACATCAATGCCCAGCAGATGAGTTGTCTCTCTTCCCTTGCTCTGCTCCCCTGGGGGTTTCTGGGCTAAGCAGGAAGTTAGAGAAGACAAGCGTGAGTCTCCTTCTTGGCTACAAGGTAGAGCAGATCATTTGCTGTTTTTGTTTTAAAATACTTATTTTTTTAAAAGTCTCTGACAGTTCTGGACAAAAAAACCAAGGAAAAGAAGCAATTTTTAGAAGATGATGAGACTTTCATAATATTAACGTTTAGGCCTCAGTGCAGTGACTCACACCTGTCATCTGAGCACTTTGAGAGGCTGAGGTGGGAGGATTGCTTGAGGCCAGGAGTTTGAGATCAGCCTGGGCGGCAGAGCAAGACCTCATCTCTGCCAAAGGGAAAAAAAAAGAATATTAGCGTTTAAAAATTTGGATCCAGGCCGGGCTCAGTGGCTCAGCCTGTAATCTCAGCACTTTGGGAGGCCGAGACGAGTAGATTGCCTGAGCTCGTGAGTTCAAGACCAGCCTGGGCAACTTGGTGAGACCTCATCTCTACAATAAATAAAAAAAATTAGCTGGGCATGGTAGTGCACCCCTGTTGTTCCAGCTACTTGGAAGGCTGAGGTGGAAGTATCGCCAAAGCCCAGCAGGTCTATGCTGGGGCAGCCATGAGTGTGCCACTGCATTCCAGCCTGGGCGACAGAGTAAGACTCCAACTCAAAAGAAGAAGAAAAAAATTTAGATCTCTTTTAGGAGAATATTTTTCCTGCTTCCTAAGAAAGGCTCATCTTAGGCTCATCTTTGGGCTTCTGCCAAGATCGAGGATCAAGCCAAGTTTGAGTTTGGTAAGTTGGCCTGAGATCTCTTCTGGGAACGTACATGGGAAGTGGTATCAGAAGGCACCTGCCTGCCTACTGCAGCTTTGCCCCTGAGGTTTTGATAAGCCTCAACATCTTTTGCTGACCTGACACGTGAGGACATGTTGCCAAACACCATACCCCGACAAGGCAGCCGCAATGCAATGTTGAGTCCCATGTGATTTCTCTTTTGAGCAACAGCCTGACTTAGAGGAATCCATACTTGCTTCTGCCAGACAACCTAGATGTGACACACGATGGTCTTCTGTTTCTTGTGTCTTACTCTCCTTTCGTCATGTTTGTCTTTGCAGGAATACCAGTTCTGTGTCCATGGAGGACCACAGCCCAGTTCGGCAGCCCCCAGCGAAACCTGGCCTCCAGCTTCCTGGCAGGACAGCCATACAGTACGCAGGCTGCGGAAGACCAGAGGGAGGAACCCCTGCACTCCATCATAAGCAGCACCGAGACTGTGCAAGGTAGTGTGTTCAACCAGACCTGGCTCTTGGTTCAATGCTGGTCATATGAGAAGTTTCTGAGGCAGAGGCAGTGATTGATAGAGCCGCCTCCTCATGGCAGAAGTCCCCATGTTTTGGGTGTGGGGAGGGTTGCCCTGAATACAGCATCCTCCATTTTTGTCCCAGCTGGAGACTTCTGTCTTTATCCTGGTGTGTCTTGCCCCCTCTGGTGGTCACCCGTGAATTTGCATGTGGCACCTTCTCTGAGTGGTGATTCATGCACATCTGCTAATAATCATGGAAGCTGGACGTTAGCGCAGTCTTGGCACAGCTTCTGCAGGACTGAATGCTGAAGTTGTCTTTTTCAACCCTTGGAAGTACAAGAAGGCAATCTTCAGAGCCAGTCCCAAAGTGGCTCCGTTTCTGGCTTTTATGTGAGACGACAGGAATAGAGTCTTTGCAGTTAAGAAGGGAATTGAGGTTTTCTTGTTATTTTGCTTTCTAAAGAATTAATTTAGAAACTGCTTTTTTGGAGAATATAATCCAGGGTCTAGTTGTGGGGACCAACCCAGTTCTCGTGACCAGGCACACTGGGAAACTAAACCTCAGCAGTCTGTGGAAGTGACCGCAGTGTGTCCGGCCTCAGCTGTGCGAAGGTCTGCTCCACGGATGCCCCGTTCTGTGGAGCCCGGAGCCACTTGGCTCCACATGTTCTGCCCCTGAAACCTCCTTCCCTGAGAGACTTTGTTTCTGTCCATCTTTTTCTTTTCATTCGGTCTTTTAAGAAATGTGTAAAACTCATAACCTTAAACATTCTTTTGAATGTTACGTAGCATGTTCTTCCCTCAAAATAGAAACCCAACTTTATTGGTTGTGTCTGTGATTCATTACTAGGTTCTACTTCCAAACACGAGTTCCAGGCTGAGACAAAGAAGCTTTTGGACATCGTTGCCCGTTCCTTGTACTCAGAAAAAGAGGTATCACTCCCTGTTGATCAGTCCTCGTACCAGCAAGGTTCTTTTGGCAAGAGTATTTTTATACCATTCTGGGGAAAAGCCAAGTAATATATTAGCTGTGAGATGCATTAAGCTTTGGACAGGTCCCCATCGTAAGCTACTTTTGTGGATAAGTGCATCCAGATGATTCTTTGGACCAGATTGACTCTGGGAATTAATTGAATTTTGCCAGTAATTATAAAAGTCCCCAGATACTGGCATGGGGGCTCTGTGAGAGATCTGTTTCTGTGGAGCCTTCACTTGGTGTGACTATCTGCAGTCAAGTGGGGGCATCAGTGGCTGGAAGAAGGAGATTCCTGGCCCTGTGTGGTGTAGAGCAGGGAGGAGATCCAGAGGAGACTAACGCTCATTTAGAGATGGCAGGACAAAGGAAAAGAGAAGAAGAAATAGGCTCATTATTGTTGGAATGCACAGAAACAGCCAGAAGAGGGGAAAGCACAATATGACAAAGTGAAAGGGACTTCTCAGGAAACATTTCCAGATTTCCTCTTGTTAAGTACTAAATTCATGAATTCCAGAGATTTGCAACTCCTATCCACATCTCCTCACTTCTTCCCTCTCTCCGTCCACATCACTCCACTTTTCCCCTCTCTGCTGATCAGATCACCTCACTTCTCCCCATCTCCTGTCCACTTCCCACTTTTTCCCTGTCTCTTGTTCACATCACTCCACTTCTTTTCTCTCTTGTGTGATGTCACCCACTGTAAGTGGAAGCTCTGTTGGAGGTCAGGGTGTTCTCTAGACCCTGAGAGCATATTTGGACCCTGTAGCCCTTTTTCTCCAGGAAATGGCAGGCCTGGTTTTCACCCCACTAGGTGAAATGAAGCCAGTGAGTCTGTTTTGTGGAGTAAAAGGAACAGATGCTTGGGGTGATATGTTGTCATGCCTGTGCAAAAGTTGGGAAAGAAATGCTCCGTCACAAGTCAGGCGTGGTGGCTCATGCCTGTAATCCCAGCAATTGGGGAGGTAGAGGCGAGAGGATCACCTGAGTCCACGGGCTTGAGATCAACCTGGGCAACATGATGAGACCTCGTCTCTACAATAAATCATAAAATTAACCAGGCGTGGTGGTGCACGTCTGTAGTTCCAGCTACTTGGAAGGCTGAGGGGGAAGGATCGCCTGAGCCTAGCAGGTCGAGGCTGCAGTGGCCGTGAGCATGCCACTGCACTCCAGCCTGGGCGACAGGGTGAGACTTTGACTCAGAAAAAAAGAAATGGTCCCTCACATGTCTCTTTTTAAAGATTGAGTTAACAGATGGACATGTAAGTTCAGACTTGATTAAAAATCCTGAAGGAAAAGATCAGTAGGCATCAGTTTACTACATAAAGCTATGTTGGCAAGAAGCCATCTGCCTTTGGTAACTCTGTAACCTGCCCAAAAGAACTGCCTGGGACTAAAACAGAAAATCTTCATGCTTAGAGAACTGAATTTCCTGTGGCAGTTCTCCTCTGACTTTTAACAGTTGTCACAAATACAGGAAACCAAATAGATCCTGGAGAGTTAGTGTTCTTCATCCTCCAGTCCTCTCATTTCTATTCCCATAGGTGTTTATTCGGGAGCTAATTTCCAACGCCAGCGATGCCTTGGAAAAACTGCGTCACAAGCTGGTGTCTGATGGCCAAGTATTGCCAGAAATGGAGATTCACTTGCAGACCGACGCTGGGAAAGGCACCATCACCATCCAGGTACCTCCCTCTCAGCATCCAGGCACATGGCAGAGCAGGCCATACCAAGGAGGCGATGCCTGCCTTCTGCTTATGTTTCTAGGCTCCCAGTGATATGCTGACCATTTTTACTGTTAGGATAACTTGTTTAAATGTACTGTCAAAATACCACCTGTTCGTTAGAGAAAATTTGAAAAACACAGGTGAGCAGGACAGAAGAAAATTTGCAACCATCCATCACCCAAAGATAACTGCTCATAACATTTTACCATGTGTCCATGGAAGGCTTGGTGTGTATGCATCTACCAACATATCCAAACCTCTTTTCATATTTTAAACTATATTAAATGTAGTTAAATATGAAATACTTTTATATTTTTAACTCTTTCCTTTTTTTTTTTTTTTTTTTTTTGAGTTGGAGTCTCACTCTGTCGCCCAGACTGGAGTGCAGTAGCCGTTTCCAGCCACCGCAGCCTTGACTTGCTGGGCTCTGGCGATCCTTCGTCTCAGCCTTCCAAGTAGCTGGAACTACAGGCGCGCACTACCACGCCCCGCTAATTTTTTTGATTTGTTGTAGAGATGAGGTCTCGCCAAGTTGCCCAGGCGGGTCTCGAACCCGCGGGCTCAGGCAATCCACTCACCTCAGCCTCCCAAAGACACGGGATTACAGGCTGAGCCACCGAGCCTGGCTCTTTTCATATTTTTAACTTCCCCTTCTCATAATGTAGATGAAGCAGTGCTTGTGGTTGGTTACTCTTGTGAAAGTCTAAAGTTGATAAGCCAGAAAGACAGAAGAAGGTTCAGCAGCAGTGGCCCCAAGGGGTATTGTATTCTGAGATAGCTGCCTCAGGACCTGTTTGTCATTTTGTGACTAGGGTCACTTTATCATTGTGGGGGTGTGAGTCTCTGGAGCAGTGGAAGGACAGTCCTCAGTTGGGTCTGAGTATCCCTTACTGGAGTGCTGGCCTGTTCCCACAACCACATCAGATTAATGAATGAAGGCATGAATGAATGAAGGGATGGCTGTTTTAGTTAAAGGAAGGGCTTCTCTGGGGTCTTGGCCTCATGTACTCCCTCTTGGATTTGGAGACTCCTGGTTTAGCTACCATAAGTGCATGCAGGCTGTCTGCCATGGGCAGTTTGTCCTGAGGATGGTGGGGTCCTGGGTAGTGGGTTTCTTTTCTCTAGCCTTTCCCTGAGCTGACCTGGCTGTGGAATGGGCCCTTGTGTAGGGCTGGGCACAGGGCTGTGTATGCTGAAAAAGCATCTTGTGCCTCCCTGCCATGTACAGTCCAGGGATTCCTTGGAATGGATGAGGACGAATGTGCAGGGGGCAGGGACAGCAGGGATGTGACTCATGGTCAGTGAGCAGGGGACTTGTCCTCGTGTACCAGTACTTCCTGGCACTGAGACGTTATGTTATTAGGATTTTTGTTTTTGTTTCTGTCTTCCTTTTTCCAAAACAACAGTTCTAGATTGACAGAAAATTTAAGCAAATAGTTCCAATCGGCTCCCTGGCCCTCATTTTCCCCTGTTTTTTGTTTTTTTTTTTGAGTTGGTCTCACCCTGTCGCCCAGACTGGAGTGCAGTGGCTGCTCCTGGCCACCGCAGCCTTGACCTGCTGGGCTCCGGCTATCCTTCCACCTCAGCCTTCCAAGTAGCTGGAACTACAGGCGTGTGCTACCACACTCAGCTAGTTTTTGATTTTATTGTAGAGACGAGGTCTCGCCAAGTTGCCCTGGCGGGTCTTGAACCCGCAGGCTCAGGTAATTCACTCGCCTCGGCCTCCCAAAGTGCTGGGATTACAGGCTGAGCCACCAAGCCTGGCCCTTCCCCTGTTCTTAACACCTGACGTGAGTGGTCCACTTGTTACAATTAATTAACCAAAATGGATACTTCATTATCATCATTATTATTATTATTAAATAGATACTTTGTTATTATTCTTTATTTATTTTTGCATCAGAGTCTCACTTTGTTACCCAGGCTGGAGTGTAGTGGCACACTCACAGCTACCCCGGCGTCGACCTGCTGGGCTGCAGCAATCCTTCTACCTCAGTCTTCCAAGTAGCCAGAACTGCAGGCACATGCTACCACGCCTGGCTCTTTTTTTTTTTTTTTTTTTTTTTTTTAAATTGTAGATACTAGGTCTCCTCAAGTTGTTCGGGCTGGTCTCAAACCCCGCAGGCTCAGGCAATTCACTCTCCTCGGCCTTCTGAAGTACTGGGATTACAGGCTGAGCCACAAGCCTGGCCACATCATCATCATTATTATTATTGTTATTATTAATACTTATTTATTTTAAAAATATTTTTGGGTCAGAGTCTCACACTGTTGCCCAGACTGGAGTGCAGTGGTATGCTCATAGCCACCACAGCCTCCACCTGTTGGGCTCAGGTGATTCTTCCGCCTCAGCCTCCCAAGTAGCTGGAACTACATGTGTGCACTACCATGCCTGGCTGATTTTTTTGATTTATTATAGAGACCAGGTCTTACCATGTTGCCCAGGCTGATCTCGACCCATGGTCTCAGGCAGTCCTTTTGCCTCAGCCTCCCAAAGTGTTGAGATTACAGGTGTGAGCCACTATGCCTGGCTTATTTTTTTTTATTATTATCATTATTGAGTCAGGGTCTCGCTCTGTTGCCCAGGCTGAAGTGCAGTGACATGATTATGACTCACTGTAGGCTTGACCTCCTGGGCTCATGCAATCCTCCTGCTTTCCTCCTAAGTAGCTGGGAGTACAGGTGCACGCCACCATGCCCGGCTAATTTTTTTATTTGTGTAACTACGAGGTCTCACTATGTTGCCCAGGCTGATCTCGAGCTTCGGGGCATTCTTCTTGCTTTGGCCTCCCAAAGGGCTGAGATTACAAGCATGAGCCAGTGTGCCTGGCCACCATTATCTTTTCTTTTTTTTTTTTGAGTTGGAGTCTCACTCATGTCACCCAGGCTGGAATACAGCAGCACACTCATGGCCACCGCAGCCTTGACCTACTGGGCTCAGGAGATCCTTCTGCCTCAATCTTCCAAGTAGCTGGAACTACAAATGCACGCCACCATGCCCAGCTAGTTTTTGTGATTTGTGATTTATTGTAGAGACAAAGTCTTACCAAGTTGCCTAGGCTGGTCTCAAACCCCTGGACTCAGGCAGTCCTCTCGCCTCAGCCTCCCAAAGTGCTGGGATTACAGGCTGAGCCACTGTACCTGGCTATTTTTTTTGTCTTAGAAACTGATGTTTATTTTCCACCAACCTTCTTTCCATGTTGCTTAAGAGCCTGTGGAAGAACAGCTTAAGACCACTCAGTGGTTGTCCCTACCCATTTAGTGGCCTGAGCAGTGGGAGCTGCAGACCTGTCTTCTGTGGCAGGCTGAGCACTCCAGTCTTTAGTAGGAAACTGCTGAATTGGCACAGAGGGCACCTGCAGACCAGTCTGCAACATCAGACTGAGTAGCAGTGAACTCAGGAGCTGGAACTGTCCATTCTCCCTGAAATTCTTCTTTGATTACAGCTTTCTCAGCAGCAGCATGCTCTTCCTTTTCAGTTTCTTCGGGATCTCTGTTAAACTAGAGATCAGGCATAACCTTCCACAGGTGTTTGTGCGAGAGGGTGCCATACATGTGCAGAACTTCCCGAGCCAGCATCCACCACATCAGACCCCCTGAGTAAGCTCCCTTGTTGTTGCACGGGATGGCAATGTCCACATAGCGCAGAAGGGGGTCTGTGTTACACAGAGCAGTGGGTGGGCGAACATAAGATGCCTCTGCGAGAGGCTGGTGGTCAGCCCTGGGTCAGTAACCACCAGCAGACGGGGCGCCCAGCAGGCTGCCCGGGTCTGGTTGGTGGAGGTTCCAGGAGTGAAGCGGCCAGCAATAGGAGTGGCTCCAGTGGCAGTATTCCTGGTAGATATGACACTGACATTAGCAGAGTTTCCTTCTTTCTTCTTTTTGTTTTTTTTGAGTTGGAGTCTCACTCTATCACCCAGCCTGGAGGGCAGTGGCACACTCACAGCCACCCCAGCATCTACCTGCTGGGTTCTGGCGATCCTTCCACCTCAGCCTTCCAAGTAGCCGGAACTACAGGCACGCACTACCACGCCTGGCTTATTTTTTATTTATTGTAGAAACAAGGTCTCGCCAAGTTGCCCAGGCTGGTCTCGAACCAGTGGGCTCAGGCAATCCACTTGCTTCGACCTCCCAATGTGCTGGGATTACAGGCTGAGCCTCCAAGCCGGCCAGCAGGATTTTCAGTGGCAACAAAGGCACAAGCTGCAAGCAGAAGCTTCTCCCAGGTCCTCTTTAGATTTGTAATGTAGGTGCCATCACTCTTCCTTTTATAGGTTTACTGTTCCATTTGGAAGTCAAGGTTGGTGCCGCCTTAGTGGGTTCCTGCTGCAAGGAGTTTGAGGATATCTGCCTCCTTTATTTTCGGGACTTTAAGGGCTCTGGACATTGTGAAAATTTCCCTTTAAGTTGCGATTGGAATTCAGAACAACACTGTATGGACCCCTCTCTGGGTTGCATGGAAGCTATTTTTTTTCTAATTAAAATTTTGTTTAGAGACAGGGTCTCGCTCAGCCACTCAGGCTGGAGTGCAGTGGCACGATCATAGCTCACTGCAGCCTTGACCTCCTGGGCTCAGGCAGTCCTCCTGCCTTGGCCTCCTGAGTAGCTGGGGCTGCAGGTGTGCATTAATTCATTGTTCCTACCTGAAGTCTTAGTAAAGGGTGGGCTCTCTAGGATCTTGGAGATGTTATGCCATTCTTTCTCCTGTACTAACATCGCAGCCACATTGCTTTGTTATTTTCAGGAGATTCTTTAGGGAATACAATCTGCAGTCTTAATTTATTACTGTCTAGCTTGAATTGATATTTAACACTTCATTTATAATGTAAGAATCTTTTAACAGTATCATTCCAGTGACAAAACCCTCTTTTAATGTCAAATATTTTACATGTATACCTGTTGTAAACCCTCACAAATTTCTTTAAAATCACATAATGTAGGTTGACTGGTAGCAAATG